AACCATTTCTAGAGACATAAAAATGTTTATGATTTCAAAAGGGGCCATCTGCCCTCTAATGGGCAGGCAGCTGAACTGAACCAGAACGATGCTTGGAACCTACTCAGTTTGGTTCGTTCTTTTCCCCTTGGCCCGTTTTTCTCCATAAACGGATCCCTCAGAGCCCTCCCATCTGATCCTAAACGTCATACATGTTCCACAGGACCACAAATGCTCCCTAAGGCACGGCCTTCCCTGACCTGGTGCCCTCCCAATGCATTGGATTATAATTTTCACCACCTCCCACAACTCTGCTATGCTGATTTGGCCTAATAGGATTGTAGTCTAGTACATTGGAAGGCTACCGGGTTGTGAGACACTATCATAGCAGCTGGAAGAAGCCCAAATTGCCTATATTCAGAAATATAACACTTCCACGATTCCAAATTAGAAATCGTAGAGGGCCTCTTTGACTGACATGCTCCTTTCTCAGATAGTATTTCCTTTGGATGCTGTTTATACAAGTATACCTCCTGGATTAGTAGATGCAACTGTAAAGGAGCCCTTTTCCTGGCCTGCCAAGCCTCTTCAAGAGAACCAGGCTTCAGCTACATTCTGTGATGGGCAACTCAAGGGCCGCAGAGCCAAATTGGAGTGCTTGTTTCAAAAGCTGACCAGGCTTAGTCCAGTTGGACGATCAGAGGCAAAGATTTCCCACAGTAAAGAGCCTTTATAATGTGAGAGCCTAATCAACCAGTTAGGCCTAGGGAGGAAAGCAGAGGGCAAACCCCAAGTTTTCAGTTTTTATGTGCAGAGGTTGAGGAGCTATATCTGAGCTGCAAAGTCCAGATCACCACTAGATGGCAGCAGAGATTTTCTTTATCCCTTTGCTGCCATCTAGTCCAATGCTTAATTTGACATAGATAATAAAACTCCAACTGACAGAGGCTTGTTCCTCTAGCATATTTAAATGAGAGCGTGCTTTGGGAACACCAGAAAGAATTGAAATGATCTAGTCAACTAGATGGGGATTAAATTTAGCTCGAAAGAGAGCCAGTCATGCACGGGGCTAAATTAAGTTTACTCAGTTACTCCTGTCATGGAACACCTAAACCCAGTCAACTGACCTGTTGTGCATTTTTTGTCTTCCAAGAAAAATAGTTGGAAAGCAAAGAGTGGCTGAAAAAGCCAGCACCTCTCTTTTATAATTTTGCAAAGAATGATTGGCCACAGCAATCAAATAACAGTTCCTGTTGGCTGACCAGCCAATGGGGAAGGTGCTAGAGTTGTCATGTAAACTTATCAGTACATTGCTAGGCACTACCTGGAGAAAGGGGGGGCTTCAAGAAATCCAAAGTAGGTAACTTTTGACTCAGTGTAGTTCTGTGCTGCCAGAACCACTGCTAGAGTTTTGGCAGGATTATGGAAGTTATGCAAACAGGGCAGTGCAATACATTTAACAAGTAGGGTGGGTGCCCCACAGGCCATTCTTTCATTTTGCAGCCTAGAGAGCACCCCCAGAATACACAAGTGAAATTAGGTTGCAAAATACTGATTTTCAACAACTTAGCATGTTTGTGCTTTTTGCAGAAATACCTAAGGTTGTTGGAAACATTTCGTTTGACTCTAAAATCCGTTGGGGGGGGGAGAATCAGGCTGAAATTTTTCAGCACTCTGATCCATGACTATCCTATTTATTTATTTAAAAGGGAAGGGTACCTAGGTGAAAAAGTCTCCTGCTTTAATAGAAATGTGACATGATTTTTCCATCTGTGCATCAGGTTACAAGGAAGGAATTACCTGCTGAATTATATGGCTTCAAAAGGTCCACTGAGAGAAAGGACACAGAACAACAGACAAACAAATCACCAGGTTCAGATGACATCCATTTCTTGACCAAAATGAAATGCAATTGATTTTCTAACTCTACACACCCACTCACATACAGGTAGTTCTCACTTAAGGACTGCCTTGTTCAAAATTATGACAGTGCTGAAAAATAACGATATGACTAATGCCTGCATTTATGACCTTCGCAGTGTCCCTCAGTCGCACGATTGCCATTACAATCAGTATGTGTTGTCCTGTGCCTGATCTTTTGTTTTTTCTTTTTTCTCTACTTGCACAGTGGAGAGATTGGAGAGAAAGAGATTACAAGAGAGTAAGCAGGCACATAGTGGGGAATACCCATCAAAAGCAATGTAGTGGTGCCAGCAGCCGTGAGCACGCTACACCAACATTCCAGTGTATTCCCCATTGTGTGCCTGCTTACTCTCTTGTAATCCCTTCCTTTCCACTGAATGTAAATACAAACATTTATCCCCTTCTTGCTAATTATCCCAGTGCTGGGGTTTGCATTCCAAAGGGTGGGGGAGTGGAGAAAAGGAAAGCACAGTCATGATCATGTGATTTCCCACTTAGTGACCACTTCACTTAACGACAGAGCTGCCAGTCCCAATAGTGGTCAGTAAACAAGGACTACCTGTATATGTAACATGTTTCTAAAATTGCTTTCTAGAGACTGGAGAATGGCCATCACAATGCCAAATTTTGAACAACCTGCTGCCTTTTAGGCCAAAGGGAAAAAAGTAAGAATATGGTCACAGTACTTGGGAATCCTATTTTTGTTCCTTATTTACAAAATTCTCAATTCTGCTTTATCCTTTGCAGGATTTTGCAAGTCTGATTTCAAGAACCTCCCTGACTCTTGTTATTACGTGCTCCATAGAAACCTCTGAATTCTCCCATATATTGAAGGTAACACTTCAAGTTTTACAAATTTTATACTGTAAATCTAGAAGTAGGACCATTTTTTACTAATTGTATTGCAGACAATCAAAATGAGGAATTATTGCCCTAGCTGCACATGTCTTTCCCCACTTTACATTGGAGGGCACACTCTTATGATAAAAATATACAGCTGCCAGCTGCAGCTTGCTTGCTGTAAAACGCATTCATCCTGGACAAAATCTATGTGGTTGCTAAAAGCTGACACCGACTTGACAGCACCTGATCAATCTAGAGAGCAGTCTGCTGAGTTAGGTTTGATGGGCTCTAGGATGCTCCTCGAGTCAGTCTAGAATTAGCATTACTCTCATCTGATCCCACCCTTGTCACTCCCTGCCCAGATGCAGAGCTCTGGCCTTTAATCCAAGACTTCTGCTCCAATTCCAGGACTGCAGGAAAAGCACTAACATACGCGTCCATTCAAGAGAAGGAATAATGACAGTCCTGCGTGCCCATCCTGACACAGACAAACCCCCCCCCAAAACATCACAGGACACCAACTCTCTTTAAAATCACCTAACCCACACCTATTCAAGGACCCACTTCGGCTCCAGATCAAAGAATGTTGAAGGCTGCAGAATCGAGTTGGGGGCTCAGAGCGAGGGTTGATTTACCTTCCCCTGGCTAGCTAGATTTGCTTGTCTTGGCCAGAGATCTGACTGCCTCTCTGATTTGGAAGGGCAAACAACCGAAGGGCCAACAGCAGCAACACAGGCCAGGAAACCAGTTCCAGATGCCACCAATAGGTGGCGGTAGAAGGAGCTGCAGATATTAAGCCGTCTGCGCAAAATCGCAGGAGCGTGTTTTATACGGACTGGAAGCAATTTACGCACGTTGCTCTGTTGTTCTTTCTGTTCACCGGGTGTCATTCCTCCAGCAACGGAGCATGCTGAATCGCAGACCGGCCCTTTTCCTCTTCGATACAGCCATCCGGTTGGCTCTCTTCTTCCACCCTCTGATGCGATGATCAAGGATATAACCCAAACAACCCCTGTGGCATGATTTCAAAAGCGCCCATAAAATCAGCATTTTAGCCATTTCGGACCAGATCCCCAGGTTTACGAGGGACGGGCCTTTTCCTGTCATGCGAACTTTTTGCAATTCTCGATAGATTGGCATGTAAGCGCTGAAGTAACCGGTCGTAATTACGCGCACTCGAATTTTGAGAATGCAGCTCTCATCCCGAGATCATGGCTGTGAATTACAAGCGCGCTAATTATCTGGCTTTCGGTGGCAAAACCAAGTTAGCACCAAGTTTAGCAATCTAAAAGCGTGTTAAGATAATCCGTGTATGTGCAATTCTTATGGGGGGGAGCAGCACCGATAGAACGGGAATAGAAGCAAATGTCGCATAAAATTACCGCATTGACAGGAAAGAGTACAAGCACAGTAGCATATAAACACACATGTGGATCTCATTTACCGATGTTGGAGAAGAAACCCATTTACATGTAAAAACAACACGGTAGTTTAGAGACCAAGCTCTTTTATGAGGAAGTGGATGGCTCTTAAAAGAGCCTTTGGGTTCTCGGTCGCAGCGCAGCGCAGCGCAGCGCAGCGCAGCGCAGCGCAGCCGCCTCACTTGGAGCTGGTGTACTTGGTGACAGCCTTGGTGCCTTCGGACCCGGGGTGCTTGGCCAGCTCCCCGGGCAGCGGGGGGCGAACGGCCGTCTGGATCTCCCGGGA